CGTACTGCTCTACCAAACAAAACGAAACAAAACAAAAAGAAAAACGAAACAAACCAAAACAAAACAGGACAGAAAAGTAACCGAAGAGATGGAGAAACACAATACGCACGCAGCACTTTGTGGGTTGGCCGCTATCGCAGACAGCGACCATTAATTTCCGTGACACACTCACAAATATTCCCAGACTGTAAACTGCAAATAGTCGCTGTGGGGAGTTGTAATCGGGCGTACAAGTACAAGTTAACTGTCTGATATCTCTTGGGTAGAACCAGCCCGCCTCCGAAATGATTTTCAATTTTTTTTTTTTTTTTTTTTTGGGGGGGGGGGGTATATCTACTCATTTACAATAATATGTCCCCAGTGAATGATTCTTTTTCCGTTTTTACCACCTAATAATAAGTTTATGAGTTGTCAGTTATTTCTAAATGGGTGGCTGGAGGGCGTCACTGATGTGTCCTACTTCTTTTTTCTTCATCTATTGTGTCTATTTGTTTTATTTTCTTCCTTGAACTAAAACATCATTATCGTGTCGGTTGTCGGGGTACTTCTGTACTTCTTGAAAACAGATTTAATCCTGCGTACTTCGTTTGTGAGGGTAATACAGTGTATTTACAGTAATCAGAGCTTGCGATTACTGAGCTGGTTTCGTATCGGCCCCCGTAATAATGTCTTTGGCTAGGACACTAGGACCCATCCCCCACCCCAACCCCCCTCCCCTCCCCCGTGACACACACGGTGCAAACATGCTTTGGTACATTTACGGAAATGTTTTGAATAATTGGTTTTAAAACGCTCTTTTATAATGATACAAGCGGGATATGGGGTTACCACGCTTTACGTTATTAGTTTAGTTTATAGCTATAATATATTAACTGTCTGCAACATTTTAAAAAGATCTTTGAAAACGCACACGGTGCGCAGAGTTCAGCAAATTAATTGATCTGAGCTGACTTTTTCTCAAAGCTATTCGGACAAACTTGAGCATGAGTGTTCTTTGCAATTATAAACATACTCCACTGATCTTTATATTTTTGACAGCCTTTACCCCCCACCCTCGCCTTCCCATAACCCCCCACCTCCTCCAGAAACAAAC